TTAGAGTTTTGAAATAAACTTTTTTTCAAAATATTTTTAAAAAATTTATATATATATTTTTATATATATATATATATATATATATACATGAATGATTTATAATTTTTTAAAAATATTTTGAAAATAAGTTTAATCCAACACTCTAATTTATGTTATAGACTTGTTATGTATGGAAAGATTAATTTTAATTAAGATGAATTGAATATGTAATAAAATAATTTAAAAATATGTAATAATTAATAATAAATAATTTTAAAACTTTAATTTTGTCTTAGAAAAAATTATATAATTTTTAAGCATTGACCCACCAATCTAACCATTGGCCCACCGGATCGACTTGTAATCCAAGATCTAATGCTTCAACCGGGTTGATGTCCAGATTGAGTTTAACAACTATGGGTTGAGATGTTGAGGGGAGGGATGATTGGGAAAGAAGAACAGTACTTTTGCTTCATTTAAATAAAAAAAATATTTTATTATGAAAATTGTAAATATACCATTTTGTTCCTCATTTAGGTTTTCTATTTGAATTAAAATTGTAATTTCAATGTTGACTAACAGCATTATGGACCGAATTAATGATTTGGATCGCAGCTACGGTTAAGTATAAAGGTTTGGGAGTGTGGCCGCAAAAATGAAAGATTAGAATATAATCTGCATTAAAATGAAATGTTTGAAACCTCTGTTGTAAGTTTTCCTTTTATGACTGACATTTATTTGGGTATGGAAAACTTTTTATTTATATGATACGGACAGAAGTTCAAAATTCATATCCAATAAATTCTAATTATAATTCAAATTTCATCTTGTTGGGTTTTTGATACCCAATAAAAATTTGGGCTATGATATTAATGTGGGTTAATATTATTTTATAGGCATAGTTCAACAACCAAATCCATGAGTTACACCCGATCCAATTGTATTCCCTCTTGGATGGCTTGAATCTTGGCCCGTTTACTTTTTTAAAGGTCCAATTTAAAGCCTAACCCTGGAGTATATATATGGCTATAACCTTAGCCACTTTCTTTTGATGTTTTGTGAGGTTTTGTGTAAGAAAAAGGTAATCCCGTTTGCCCACTTTGTGTGTGAAAAAAGGCCTCTAGAAATGTTTAAAACGCTTGTTTAACATGTGCAATTGGTGGTTCCTTCATAATATACCTTTGTGGTATCTTCTCTTAGCCTTTGTAACCACAAATCATAATCTTTTCTTATCCCACGTGTGTAAGATTGAATAGCAACCGAGATGAATTAATTGGTTTTGGTTTGGAACCAATTGAATTGATTGTTGGTTGAGAAATGTACGTTGGATTGAGTTCAAAAATCACCAATTTGAAAATCTTTTAAAAGAGTTTCCGCAACACATCTTTGATGTTTATTTAATAGGAGAAAGAAAATGATAAAACAAGTCAGAGAAAATACCCTTTTAAAAGGTCTACGTATGGACGAATCTTCTCACCATGTCTATTGCATACTCAACCTTTCAAAAAGAGTCTACATAGACAGATCTTCTTACAATTTCTACGTTCATTCATTTATTTTTATTATACCCCCCGCCGACATGGTCTCAAACATATTGCATTACTCAAAGACTTTTGTAGTCATTGTCTATTTTTATATTATGTGGCAGCCTTTTTAATTCAATCCATGTTAATATTAGAGATGCTTTCTTACAACTTAATGTTGACACGTAGGTGTCTTTTCTTTTCCTTAAAAAAAAAAATATTAAATTGAAACCACATCTAATGGATGCGTAGGAAATATAAAAATTCGTTAAAGTGGAGCTTTGCTAGATTATTTTTCCCTTGCACATGAATTTCGTAGTGTCCATGTCAAATTGCATTCGATGAAATTTTTAAACATTGTTTATTTTTCTTAGGTAACAATTTTTTTTTATAGTGATCCACACAAAGGCATTGGAGATGCTCTTACAAAATTCAGGTCTATTATCCCCACTTGATTATCTCATTGTTATAATTTTAACATTTCAATAAAATCAGGATTTTTAAAGTGTAAAAATTTTAGTAACGGAATTTTCAAATTAAAAACATAGAATATGAAATCCCTTATTTTTTATTTTTATCTTGATAAGAGTTATAATGAGGTGTCAAAATTTTAATAGTGGGACAGCCAAATGAACGATTATGTCAGAATAGTAAATATGAACTTCCCTTTAACAATTGTACCTCCAATGAAATATATAAACAAAAAATTTATTTGACCAACTTTTAAAAAAGCTAAGCTATGCAAAATCAATCATATTTGTTGTACATTCTATTTTGACTGCTTTTTTAAATAATGTTATCGGACAATTTTAGAAAAAGTTGCCTTTCCAGTCAATAAAATTTTGCCAAAACATATTTTTTTTTCTATCAATCAGTAGTAAAAGATAAGAAAGATGCTACAGATCTGGGGTAGAAGACAGGGTAAAAAACAGGGGCGCTACATATCAATAAGCAATTGGACAGTTTGAATTTTTTTTTTTTAAAAGCACATCCAATTAAAAACATCTAAATCAACTTATTTTCTATCTTTAACCATGTCCAAGGAGTTTAATCGAAAATATAATGCACAAGTGGCAAAATCCATGCAAAATATGCTATCAAGAATTAATTCAGAAAATTTTGAATTCAAAATGTGATGTGTAAGTTGTATATGGGGTAGAGGAGGTAATTTATGTTAGAAATATATTACATGTACATTATTGTGTACGTTAACCACGACATATTTTCACTTAACATCAATCATAGTCTTTGATTTAAAACAACACCCTTTCGTATTATTAGCCAAATTTTGACATATAGTGTCATCCTTAATGTAAACAACAATATACATTTAGAATAGTTCGGATAAAAACAACACCAGACGTGCAAGTCTTATAATTCGTGGCTGTAAATTCGAGGTAATCAGTGGACTGTAACTC